CATCAAATTTCACTTAATTGCATATTTAAGATTTTAAACACACAAAAAATCATCATTTAATCAATTGTTTGCATTCTTAATGTGTCATTCTAATTTTCTTCAGTTCGACTTTATGCTATGCTACAACAACAAGAGTGGGTTGCTAGCTACGTCTATGTAAAAATATATATTTTGACACACATCATTTATTAAAACTTGTTGAAATATGGATGCTGTTCAAGTTATACACGCACATAATAAATTATCTCTTTATAAACCTAAACCTCCTTTTCCTTTATTTGTAATCTTTAGTTTTAAACAATTTGATATTCTCTTCGTTTCAAAATATAAGATGTTTGGAGGATTTTTTGTTTCAAAATATAAGATATTTTGACAATCCTATATACTTTTTAACTTTATTGAATATTGAATGATCACTAGTATTTTGTAATTTTTTTTTATGACTGGTAAAATTATTCTTATTATATATATTAAATGATATTTTTTTTCCATGTCAGAAAAAAGTAGTTTTTTAATTTAAACTACGCGCTTTTAGCCAAAATATCTTATATTTTGAAACGGAAGGACTATATCAAATTAAAGTTATAATCATTGCAACGTTTTCATAATAAATGTAACAATAAAAGTTGATAGGGAGTAAAGATTGTGACCTAAATTTTTGATTCAATATAAAGTTACAGCTTACAAAACAAATATTATTACACCTTCATAATTCCCAAAATATCTCACGATTTTTTTTTTTTCTTTTTGTCTTCGATAGAGTTCTTAGGATGTAAGATGCAATGATAAACAACCTTTGTTTTCTTTATATTTAATGACAAGAAGCAACGTAGGGTTTCTAGGTCGGAGCCGGAGACTTGCTATAGGACTGAAGCCACCGTCCTAATCAACACAAGGAAATGTGGCAGTTCCGGTCCATAGATCTTTGAAGTAAACTCTCTAGAGTGTGGCTATCGACAAATTCACTCGGGTTTTTTTTCGCAGTTAAAAACGTTAAATTTATTAATCAAATAACACCAACATGCTTTAATGAAAAATCAAAGGATTAATAAGAGGGTTTACTAAGAAATGGATGAAAAGGATTAATAAGAGGTTTTCATTTTCATCCATTTATTAGTAAAACCTCTTATTAATCCATTTATGAAACAATTTGTAGTAAGCTTACAAATTGTGTTGAGACGCCTTTTGTGGTGTTTCGTTGAGATCTTGTCTACTTTGATTTCAGGTCAAGTTAAAATAAATAATAAGTACTTTTTTTTTGAACAACTTAATTTATAATAAGTACTTAAAACTAAATTTATAATCACTTAATTCTAATCCGTCATGGATTAGGTGATTATTAATTTAGGACGAAGCAACTATTATTTATCTTCATTATTTGTAGGGTTACAAATTAAACATCAAAACGT